TATTCCAATACAACGCTACCCTTCCACACAAGGCATCATGTGACCAACAGTATATTCGAGATACCAGCAACCACTGATGCATTACATAGAATGCATTACATAGGAGGCATTACATAGGAGGTTACATAGAATGGCCTCCGCGTTTAACTGATCTGAAACCATTGAACTCTTTTCTGTGGGAATATATTAGATAGCGAGTGTATGCAACCGTTCCAACAACATTGCAAGAACTTGGTAAACGTATTACCGATTGTGAGAGCGCGTCACATATTGTAAAATGTGCAGCGGGATGAGCAATCTCATCTCCAGATGTGTTTTGTTGCATGAAAGACACCTTTTTTAGCAAGACAGATGTCATATCTGGCAAGTGCAGTTTTGTATGCAAGATTTTTTTTTAATAATAATAAATCGCTTATTCAGAACAAGTTTGTAACTGACATTTTTCTAGTAACACGTACCACTTTTGATATAAGAACGCTAACACTGATTTTTTCCACCAGGTGGCTATGTAAGCGGTTCTCTTGCATAGATAATGACTAATGACAACTTTACTATATCTAACCTAGACCTCATTTTCATAAATATGGCTTTTGCCGTTCAGAAATTATTAGAGTGACAACGGGCTTTAGAGGGTAAAGTGTATAAAGTAATGTGGATTTGTGGTTACCTAACATGTGTTTTTACATTTTTTATAAAGATAACTAATTTACATTTTACAATTGTCAGTGTTGCTAAGCAATATGCAATATTTAAGTTTCTTTAATGGGTGTCTTCTTAATATCACGCAGGATATTGTTATGTAAGTATGAAACTTTGGGAAAACAAATTCATTTTTTATTTTCTCAGCGTTATTTACAATTAATAAGTTAGTAAATCGAATGTGACTAAATATTTCTCACAGAATGTCAGCAACGTCCTAATTGATTAAACGTATAATATGCTTCGTCGCGTCTGGGAAAAAAATCCCAAAGGAAATGTTTTTTCGATTAAGATTATGAAAGTGATAAAAAAAATTCTTTTGGTTTTTCGTTATCACGAGTAAAGCTAAATTTTTCTTCTATATCATTAGTTTTCCTTACATTTCATATTTGATGTTTGATAAAAAAATTTATTTTTTATGGATGATAGATTTAATTTTTCCAGATAAAATATCTATTTTTTTTCTCTCTGTTTGTAAAAATTATATTTCTAACATCAGTATTGCACACATTATTGCAGTTATTGAAAAAATTCTTTTGCTGCAAATACGATTTTTAAAAATCTTAAAACATGTCAAATATTTGTGAATGATTAATTTAATATCGATTTAAAATATGTTCAATGTTTATAATGCTCAATGTATGTCAAGTATGAGCATTAGTTCAATTATATGGTTCATTAATTCAGTTAGATAGTTCTCAATGCTTATATACAATTTATAATACACTTAAATAATCTTAACTGCACGTTGGTACTGGAAGTTATGATATTTATTCATTTAAAAAAAAAATTATAAGTTACTTCTAAGATGAGTTTGTGTATGTTAAAAATTAGAGTCCTCAGATCATGCATAAGGATTATTCTTGTTAGATTAAAAGTTTTTGCCAACTTACATTTTAAACTCTTTAAGTAAAAATTAAGGTGTATAATTATTTGGTGAGAAAAAAAGAGAATGTTTGATAATTTTTTTAATTATTTGGTGAGAAAAAAAGAGAATGTTTGATAATTTTTTAATGTATAATTTTTTAGAATCATTCGCTTTCTTTGAGGGATTTATTGTAAAAATAAAATATCTTCTTATGAAGGAGTTTTTTTAAATTTATGCATGGGAAAACAAACATAAGAATTTAGTGTTACATTTTATGGTATTTTAACGCAGTGTTTGAAGCTGTTTCACTTTTGTAATGAAAGATGTGACTAAGTTACAACAAACAATAACGATAATAAAAATACATACTTTAAAAATACGGGGTTGCACAAATTTTACAATAAAATACACGGTAAAAAATTCCGGAAAAAATTATGATGACAAAAACTTGAATCCTGAATGCAACATCCGTAAAATTCATTTTGTCATAAAATCCATTTTTACTATAAAATTTTAAACCGTAATTTTTACATCATTAAATACAGTGATTCAGTAAACATTATTGTAACAATTACGGTAGAAAAGATTTTAATTTTTGTAACATTTTATGGTAAGAATTCATTTTTGTGGTAAAAAGAACTGGCAATTTTTACTGGAATTTTTTCACAGTGTGCTCATTTCTTAATTTCGCATTGTATCCAGTTTTAATTTATATTAACTATGCTATTCATGCTCCACGTATGCTTAATCTATATTAAATATATTCCGTGCAAAACTATGTCTTATCAAACAAGTTTGTCTATTACATTGTTCAGAATGACAAAAAGGAGCAAATCCTTAATATGACGTTGAAGGTTTCACTTTTTCTTTTCTGTCTGATGTTTTTGCTGTTATATTTCTGTATTAATCATTTCATTATTAAGTTGAATTTTTTTCTGGAGTCTGGTTTCAGAACAAAGCATCACATCTTTAAAGACGAGTTGAAAACAGCAGCCAATAAAATTAGAAGGCCCCTTAATCCTGTTAAGATTTGACAAGTTGGTAGAGAAGCAAATTGTCTAATAAAGTTATCAGATTTTTTTTCTTTCATGGAAGGGGTTGCAATAAAACGTAATAATTATGCTGTCAGTCTCGTTTCTTTCAATTTCATTAAGCATTTCAAAAGAGATAAAAACTTCGTATTGTTATTAGTGTGATAAATCTGAAGTCCGTGCTTAGAATTTGTTATTAATCTGGCTTATGATGACAGAAGTTAGTGAAAAATTGGTCGAAGTAATTTATTTAATTTCTGGTGTTATTTACTTAATAATAACTTGAAGTGATGTACTAAGCCTTTAATTCAAAGAAATTACATTATACGTATATTTTCCCGGGAACAGAATTTACGGAGTGAATCAGCAGCTCTATCAGAGACCTTAACGCAATCAGGTAAAGATTATTATTGTGAAAATTCAGTACATTATGTATAAACATTTTATGTTGTTTAAATTTAAGTTGAATTTTATGCAATGAGTCTAAAAAATGGAATAAATCCTTATACAGTTAAGCCTGCAATCAAGTAACTACAGAAAATTCTTTTTTTGTTTTGTTTTTGGCGGTGTTTTCTGAATTTAGTTTTTTAAATACAAGTTCAGAGATGTTTTAAAAAAGATCCTCTAAACTCAGCGGCACGACAGCCCATAGAGGGCCAAGGCCTACCATGCCCATCTCAGTTTTCTTAACCTTGGGCTCTGGGCAGCTGGAGCAGATGTTCCGTTCAGGTGGTCAGCCGAACACGGAACCCCCAATGTTTAGTTCCCAAGCATGCTTGGTACTCATTTATCGACCCACTGAAGGGATGAAGGACTAAGTCAACCTTGCCCAGTCCGAGGATCGAACCCAGGACCTGTGGCACGGGAGCGTGATGCGCTACTACTCAGCCACCAGGCGTCTAGCAGTTCCCTCTATTGATTTTTAAAAATAAAGCAAAAAATTTAGATAAAAAATAATCTGTATATGGTGTAATAATATGCAGCAGCAGCTGCCATGTTGGGGGGTTTCTGCTACTGAGTACATACATATTATGTTTTATTGCATAAAGGTACAGTATTTTCCAAATAAATATAATAATTTAATTTCTTCCTTTCATTTAAAATTTGTAATTTATAATGATATTTGAAAGGAAATAATACTTTTAGAGGTTAAGAAGTTATTTTTGAACGGTTTATGCACATACTTATCCATAATCCATATACATAATTTTATAACCGAAACGGAATGTTTATACCATAATTTTCTAATAATAGATTATAAAATTTCGTTTAATATAAGATTTAGACTAACTTCTTAGTTGAGTTGGAAAAGTACTGAAAAATATTTATTGACCTCAAATCTGTTCTGGAAAATATGTGTAAATTATGGTAGATCTTCAATACTATCAAATATACTGTAAAAACTTTCGGATCAAATTACGGTAAGAAGTACCGGGACTCAGGGTGCCGATACTTTTTACCTTAAAAACTATTTTTACCGGAACATGTTACGGAGAAACAAAAAATCTGATTTATCATAATTTTTACAGTAATAATTGCCGTTAAATCACCGAATCACTCTAATTACATAAATATTATTCTAAAAATTACGACAAAAATAGATTTTACGATAAAATGTATTTTACGGATAAGGCACTCAAAGTGCCGGTACTTTAAACCGTAATTTGATACGGAATTTTTTAGAGTCTATAAAACGGAGACTGAATAAATAAAAATATGATGAATCAATGCCGCATAGCAAATGATTTTTTTAAATCTGGTAACAGGAGGTCCTAACCAAATACTAAAATGTTCATATAGCAAGAATATAATAATAAAACGTGTTTAAAAACTAGAGAATTCTTTTTTTCCCATGAGCGTTGAATTATAGGAAGAAACTGAATTATTATTATTCTAAATTGGCTTAGTAAATTATCAGTAAATTGAAATTCGAAAGTTTAATATTGATATGATTTTACAGCTTCTCCAGTTCACAAAATACTGGAAATGATGGAGGATTTTCTAAATCGAAGAGATACTTTAAGCTTCATGGAAACTTATTAACCACAAAACACTAAATTGAAAATTTTTTTAAACAATAACATGAATGGTAACTCAAATAATCATTGTCTAAATACTTTTATACTAGAATTGATCATTCTTATTAAGTAAATTGTTTTTAGATCGTAATTTGAAACTATATTCTGCTTTAAAAATTTAAGAAGTTTTTGAGAAACTAGAAATAATTTACTAGTCAGTATTGACGAAATTGGCAGTTGCCACAAAGTGACAAAATTTTGTAAATAGCGTTTAAAGATTATCGGCCGATTGTGATTTCTCTGAGATATTTTATTTTCTTACTTAGCACAGTCTTGCTGAAACACGTTCAATCAAACTCTGTAAAATAAAATGATTTTGCTTACCCATCATCATTGATAAGAAGCACCGTTTCCGATCCTCCACTACTACGAGCGACAAGATCACTTCCAAATATGCCATATACACCTGTTGATAGAAGTAAACAAATAACTGAGTTTTAATGGCTAATCTTATGTTTAGATAATTAAATTAATTATCGATATAAAAGGAAGATTTCGCCTGTCTACGCGTCTCTCTCATAACTCCAGAACCAATTGTGCAAATGTCTAGAAATTTAAACTGTGAGTAATGGAATTGAGTGAATGGTGAGTGAAAATTGGAATTTTCTCATTGGTTCAGAACTAGACATTCTCTTAAACTAAACTGTCGATGGTTCTGTTTTGTCTAATATTTTGAAGATAACATCGGTGGTGTTTTTTTAATTTTAACCTTTTTGGAATGGACGAATCATATATGCATTCTGTACGAATGCATATATGTCTCGCCCGTTCCAAAAAGTTAAAATAAAAGAAAACAGTAAAAAAGTCAAATTGCAGCTTTGGCTGATTTTCCAAAAATTAATAAGATGGATGAATCATCAAAATATCTTCTATTAACGTTCTAGAAGTTTTTTTGTTCATTAAGTACAACGTATCTTTCCTTCTTTTTTACTTAGTGTGGCTTTTGAGCAACATAACTTATATGTATTCTTTTTTTATAAATTTCGATTTTAATACAATAATTTTAAATTTTAGTATTTTTTATAACATTTTGCATTTGTTTCTAAATTTTACTCTTTTTTATTCCTTTAAATAAGGCAAAACTTATTTAAAAGTGATTTGCAAATTAATTTCATAAATTACAATGGTGCACAAACTATTATTTAAACAACCACAACTTGAGCACTATTTAGTTAAAAAATAAGCAAGAGAATTTTTAAAGTTGCATATGGTCTTTTTCACAAGCAAAATAAAGTTTTAAAATAAAATTATTACTGTTACACATTCAAATTATGCATAGTCAACTTACTCTCATCTGCTAATTCAACTTTCAAAAACAAAGAATCACCCAATTCGACACCAGTTACATCCTGATCTGTAGCATTAACCACTCGTAACCGTATTGGTGGAGTTGGTGCAACAGCAGTTACGGTATGAGCCAGTGGTTTCATTTCTCTGGAAAAAAAATTATATAATTTTTTTCAAATTTTTCAAATTTTAATGTTTATTTTATATTGAAATAATTATTAGTATTATCTTATACGAATACAGGTTAATCTTCTAAATTTCAATTTTTGCTTATTTAACTGTATGAAAAAGAAGTAAATGATTATTAAATTTAAACATTTTCCTTTTAACTGCTGCCATACGTTAACACTTTTTTTAGCATCTGTGATTCGACCTAATTGGGTACTTGTATTTCAAGAAGAAGAATATCACAAATACCCACACATGAGACTTATAACGCCAGCTCCAGCTGATCGTTTAAAAGAAAAATGGTGTGTTAAAGTTGAGCTAAGTATCTCCACGTAAGTTAGAATGTTAATTAACGTGAAGTTAATTAAATACAGTGCCGTATCACGCACCGAATTAGTTAAAATATAATTCTTTTTAGCTACATCTTTTACTTAACTTAGATTTATTAGTTGTATTTTATTGTAACATTGATGTATTTTTAATTTGCGTACCTGGCAACTTCGATGCATAATTAGTTTGTTTATGTTCATTTTGATGTATCTAGAGGAAGTTTAAGAAACCTGTAAAGTATGTATTTGGAAACAGTACTAAAGAAGAGCAGATATAAAATACTATCTTATTATGTTGTATTAATTTATGTGATTAAATGAAGTGAATATATCTGTATAAAGTTACAATTCAAAAAAGAATTGACTGAGGACAGAAAATTCGCAATTTCACTGCTCCACACTCGAGGCAAAGCTTTAGTTTTAAACTATGTACGCCATCTTAAAGTAAAGAATTATCTGGGCTCTAAAACGAAGCGGAACAGAGACGCAAATCACTACGCCATCACAATTTTTACAAATAATTGAATTCAAATTAATATACTATAATAATTAATTAAATGTAACTTTGTCGAATCCAAAAAGGTTTTTAAAAAAGTGATGTTATTTAGTGACTAAAAGATAAGAATTGAAAACAGGTAAAAGTAGACTGCAAACACAGCACCAGTTCATAATGCAAACGTGTTTTAATACTTTTTCAGCAATAAAAAAAGGAAATATACTTCCTTAACATTTCCCAACAAAACGAAATGGTTTACGAAATACAAATAACGTTTAATAAAAAAAGTATTTGTCAAAGGAAGAGACATAATATCCACTGACCTGAACTTTGTCGCCAATTTAGAGCTTTTTTTATATTTATATTTACTTAATAGGTGGATCAAACTACTTCACCACCTCTTTCGTAAATAAAAACATTTCTAGTCTGTTACCTAACAGTTTTATTTTAACTTTGTCTGACTTATTTCATCTCAATAGCTAAACAGGAAGCAGATATGCGAAAGGGCATTATAAATTTTCCAATTACTTTCCATTTCAGAAGAAAAGAAAAGCAGGTTTTAGTCGAAAAAAAAGGATAACCGGTAGCGAGAGTAATAATCTGAGCTGTTTCAACATTCTACACCGAACTCGTGAAGCAAGCACCTATATTGATATCTATTTATTTTCGAAGACTACATGCTGAGCAGAAATAATGATTTCATGACTGAAAATCCATAAATGTTTCGATTTTAAAGAAGTTCTAAATACAGCTGAGCTCTGTTACTTCACGTGAATTAGGACATTAGCAAAGCTAATGACTTAAAGGTCGTGTGCAAACGAGAGTTAGGAATAATTAGTTTTAAGCAGCTCTTTTTAACTGTCTGTTATGAGTATTCGATGTTTTTTACTAAGTAAAAAAAGAAAAGATTTGTTTCAAACAGGAGCTTGTTTGTTCAAAACTTGTTCCTAAGAACTGCAATTCAAAACTGTAAGTGCATGTTTGCTGTTTGGAGTTTTCATCATTAAGACATTTAATTTATATGGTTAGTCACATGTACAAAGAAAAATGGTACAACAAGACAAATTAAGTCTTCCGACTGGAAAAATATCTATAATCTTTTGACTTGACATGCGTAATAATATATTCTGAACTGGTATCTAATACTTCCATATTCACGAAAGAAAGAAAAAAACGTTCGTTTTCTGCATCGTTATAACAAAGTTTTCAATGTTTGAGAAAATTATCTCGTCTAACGACGTTTTATGGGATTTTTTTTCCTGTTACACTGAATAGCGCAGCTATTTAAATTGCAATAGTTAAGCTATCAAGGGTGTATTGATTGGTGATAAGACTATCCAAGAAGCATTGGAAAAAAAAACACTTTGATAAGAATGTTCAAGTTTTTTTCGGAATTGAGTTACACTAATGGCAACGTACTGGAATGTGTAAAAGACATTAAATTAAAATTTCAAAGCAGAGAGAGTTCAACTTGATCCTAGAAGTAAACTGGTTTGATTTAAGTGGACAAATACGAAATTTATTCAGTAAAAAACTACAGAAAAAAAGTGTGCATAGATTCATTTTTTTACTGTAAACTGCAAAAAGAAAGGCATCAATAACCTAATTCCTTTACATATTGAAAAATTACTTTAAATGTATTTTAAGCAACAAGTTTTAATATCTGAATTTCACAAAAATTGGTTTTATGTAACTATTTTTTGTTATTGCAATTTTTATTTCAATTTCTTTATGAAAACTAAAATTTATTTTGAGGAAATCCAAGTTGTATTCGCCGATATACATACTAAATTCAATTCTTCTTTACCAACAATGGTTACTAACTACTTTGAGAACGTAAAAGTTTAACATAAGAAATTTTTTTCATAATAGTTGTTCTTAAAAAATGACCCTCCGAACACTTTATAGGTCTAAATGTAGGGGTTTTTCTTTTCATATTTCTTTACGTTATTACTTATATACGTTTTAATATGTAGATTTTGTAACTTAAAGCACAGGTTTTAAAGTTGAGGTCTTGGGATAAAAATAAAAGCCAAATAAAATTAGCTTGGCATGAAGATTTAGTTTTAGCAAGTATTTGTAGCATATTCCCACCATTGTTTCTAACTAATAAATGTGTTTATAGTTTTAAATTTTGTTGAAATAACTCATTATTTACATGTTATGATACATAAAAACGCTAACTGTCAAAAATACAACCAGGTTTCTTAAGTTCTTTCTTTTAAAAGCAGGTTATCAAGATGAGCACTTTAAGCACTCACTGCTGTTAATTAAATAAAGAAATTCCTATGTTAATACAAAAAGTTTAGGAAACATTTGTTATAAATACATACCAGTGGATATTTGGAAAGTAAAATATAGATCAAATTATTCATCGAAAGTTTATAAAAAATTCGCTACCAGTTCTTAAAGTGTTTTAAGCAGTACGCTTGAGGATAAAGCAACAGTTAATGCGTTTATTGGTACACTGTTAGAAATTTCTCAGTAAAAATGGTTAAATAGTCAATTGTTATTTTACCATGTTCAGCTAAAGCAGTCAAATAACCATGAAAAAGATAATATTGGAACGTTTAAGTGTGAGGAAAAAACACGTTTATTGATTGTTTTTACCGAATACGGTTTAAAAACCAGGATTCTATCCGCGCCAACTATATCTATCTTGAAGCCATTTTGTTCCGTGCAGCTGGGTACATATAGCAGCTGATCGAGCTAATAGGTCAATATCATGACTGCACAGGGGTTCGAAACCCATTATTGATACCACAAGATTTCTTTTAATCCTTCAATACATGAAAAGTTTCTAGTTTCCAACACTCTTTAATCGCTTACCCTAGACTATTAGAATACGAAACTATCATTCATTCATAAATGGCACAGTACTCACCGAGCTCATTTGTCCGTTTGAGTTTTATTTTTATGGTTTAGAAACTGTGCTAGTTGTAAATAGCTACAAAACCGTATAATTTTGTATTCTCGGTTTTTTAACTGTATCAGTTGTAAACGGTTTCCAAATCGTGAAGGTAAAGAAATGTTCCTAACCACAAACTGCAATGCTTAATCGAACGGGCAGACTGCTGTCAGTTATTTTACCGAAATTTCAGAATGAAAATTCGACGTGTAAATGATAATGTTAAACTTCATTAGATGAACCAGAACAGCTTATTGTTTACTTTTTTAAGTAGATTTTAGTGCATCAGAAATTGATATATTTTCTCAATATTGTTCAATTTAATGTCATAGTTTTGTTTCAAAATATTTTTTTTAATTCTTCGAAAATTCTCTGTCATTAACTTGTTGTTAATAATGGATAGTTTCTCTGCTAGTGATGCGCCATCGTACCGGGCCATGAAAAAAATCTTTAATTATGGAATCAACAAAAAGACCAAACAACCACCAAATTGAATTTTGTAAAAATAATTTAATAGCAATTATGTCAAATTCAAAGAAACCACAAAAAAATGTATAATTAATTTTAATTTTATATAAAGCCACAGCATATTCACTAGTTCATAGCTGTATGGTTGAGTAAACTGTAGTAAATGTCAACAAAGTCTTTGATTTCATCGTAATATAATAACACCACATTAGAGAAATATCTAAATTCATTAATTCAGATGACCTTTAATAAGACTTAGCCAAAAGTAAACATATTGTTTAATTTAATAATCGTGTGCAAACGCCACACAAAAGAAATGACAACATTATCTCTAATTTGCTTTTCTATGACAATTATACATGAAGCTAATGTTAGTACTATATTTCGGGTAGAGTTCAGGTGCTCTTGTTGCTAGATAAATACTATTAAATGCTAAAAAAAATTACGTTTTAATGTAATAAATGACTTTTGTAAATAATTATACGAGAAAAACATGGTTTTTAAAACTATGCGATAAAAATCGGACGGTGCTAGGATTATTTTTGAAAGTAACCTTTTTTCCCCTTATAGATACAAATTTATTATGCTAAGGCAAATCAAATACAATTTTTTTTAAATTTCGGTTTAATAATTGCTTTAATGCAAACATATGCATATTTCTTATGGAAATTATTGTAGAAAACTAAAATAAATTAAATTGTTAATGAAGTTATAATAACATTCTTATAATAAATCTTAAAATCTTATAATAAACATTATTGTAGTAACATAATAGTAA